TACTGGGATGACATAAAACTAACTCCTCTTTTCCCTGCTCAATCAGGACGATTCGCTAATAAAGACTTGGTGGGTGGTTTGGGTCCTGAGGCAGCTCCTGTGCCACACGTGCACTGGACCCCCAGTGAGGCAGTGGCTCCAGAATAGTCCTCAGCCCCACATTCCCAGAAAAAGAAGGAGATCCTGAGATCTCCCAGTGTCTTTTTCAATTGTTTCACTGAGCGGACCCTAAAGTTTGTGTCCTAGCGTGGGTACCTGGCAGACAGAGAGAATGATAGGACAGGATCTCTGTCCCCCAGGAAGCCCCAGGCCAGGGTACAGGGACGTTACAAGGTGAGTGCTATGCTCTAGCTTCCTTTGGTAAAGTGTTATATGCTAGATGCTGCTTTAACTGTTTACAAACATGAACCCACTAACGCTAGTATGATATAGTTCCTAAGGTGGTCCTATTTTTACAATGAGGAACTCAGAGATTGAGTACAGCCAGCAAGTTACAGAACCAATGATCTGAACCCAGGACTCCTTTCCCAAGATAATCAGATAAGAAAACTCACATTACACAACTCTGCAGGACAGTTCTGGTTAGCCCATGTGACAGATGGGGGGCCCTGAGTCCCACTTGTTTCCCATGGTAACTTTGACTTGGGATGCCACAACAGTGGTCTAGCTCAAGCCAGTCTAGAGATGGCTTTCTGGAGGCAGACATTCCTGACATGGGAATATAGTATTCTGACAGAGGCAACAGTCAGTGACAAAGCATAAAAAAACGTTAGCAACCAGATACAGGTGACAGTTGTGTTCCATGGGTCTGAAAGTGATGTCAGGTGAGTGGCAGGGGATGAGGCAAGAACCAGTGGCCAGATAAGTCCTTGGGACATCTGACCGTCATGGGTGTTACAGGATTATTTTAAGAATGAAGTGGTATCATCCAATGGCTTGGAGGGAGGCCAGATCATTAGGTGGACTAATTAGGAGACAATTATAATAATAAGGCAATAAATCTCAACTAGACACTGGCTGTTGGGATAAAGGAGAAAAATTGCATTTGAGAGACACTCATGGATACAGATGTCTGGGTGCTTTATTTATTAGCCCAAGACATCCCACCATCTGAAGATAAAGCACAAGCTTCCTAGGAGAGCAGACAAGACCTGCTCCATCTGGACCCAGTCCCCTTTCAGCAGGTGCTAACCTTGAAGAAGGTGTGCAGATTCCCCAGGCTACCAGTCTGCTCGGCACACTCACAGGCTATGATCCCAGATCTCCTGGGATCCCTGTCACCAAACGCTCATTTTGACATGCACTTCAAGTGGTAACTCACTGACTTCAACATATACTGAGGGCTGGGAATATAGCTCAGTTGGTAGAATGTTTGCCTAGTATGAATGAAGCTCTAGGTTTGATACCCAACACTATAAACTTGGCTTAGTGGTGTACATTGGAACCCAGACCTCGGGTGGTAGAGATAGAAGGATCAGAAGCTCAAGATTATTTTCAGCTACATAGGGAGTCTAAAGACAATCTGGGCTACAAGAGACTCCATTTCAAAGGAACAAACAAACAAAATCTACTGAACTGAACACCCTTCTTATCATCATTCCTGGAGTCCAACGTGCTTCTTGGTACACGAGAACCCAGTGTTCTTCCAATATGGCTCCTTGGTAGCTTCTGTTGCATGTCCCCTCCTTATTCCTATGGACTGACCCCTTCTCACCCACACCTCTCAAACTTTGTCATATAGACAGGTCACCTAGGAATAGCGCTAATGACACAGATCCCGAGGTGACAGTTGTGGGTAGGGCCCAAGAATATATACTTCTCAGAAGACTCCAGCAGACAGCATTAGAAAAGCAAAGTCATAGATTTCTCCGAATCATCTGATGAAAAAGCAATGAAAACATTGTTTTTAAATTCTCTATGCAGAAAAGTTACATACAGTAAAATGAAAAGTCTCTAAATCTACAATTTGATGGAAAATATATACATCCCTTGCCAGATGGTGGTAGCACACACCTTTAATCCCAACACATGGGAGCTAGAGGCAGTCAGATCTCTGTGAGTCTGGGGCCAGCCTGGTCTACAGAGTGAGTTCCAGGACAGCTAGGGCTACATAAAGAAATTCTCTCAAAAAAATATGTATGTATATATACAAATCCGTATGGACTCAAAATGTCAGTATTTCTAGAAAATTTGTAAATGGAACTCTAATTGGTCTAAATAATAAAAATCCAGAGTCAGTTATAGAGGAAAATGCTTGAGAGATCAGAGAGAAGAAGGAAGAAGCCAAAGTCACCTTAAACTCATTAGCTTCCCAGGGGGAAAGAGAGCTAGTTCCTATTTCCTCTCTCTGCCCAGCCATCTCACTTCCTGTCTGTCTGTACAAACCTACAAACCTCTATGGTTAGCTAGTGGCAAGCTCCACCCTCTGATATTTAGACAAGCTTTATTTGTACAAGCAAGATACCACCACAAAAGTTTCCACTTAACCTTCATTTCTGTATGCATATGTGTATGTAGATAGATACATACATACATATGTATGTATGTATATGTATGTGGTATATATGTATGTATTTGTACATATAATACACACACATAATACCTATGGCTCCAATAAAGAATTCAGTATTTATTGCAAGTTTCCATTCAACCTTCATTTCTGTACACACACACACACACACACACACACACACACACACACACACACACACCTATGGTCCCAGTAAAGGATGTCAATATTTCTAGAGTTTCTGTTCAACCTTCATTTCTGTTGCTATGACAAAACAACCTCACACACACACACACACACACACACACACACACACACACAAATGTAGAGAGCTGGAGAATTAGCTCAGTAGTTAAGAACACTTGCTACTCTTTGATTCTCAGCACCCATGTCTGAGAGCTCCAATTCCAGCTCCAGGAGATCCACTGCCCTCTTCTGGCCTCTGAAGGCACCATCGTACATGTGGCATACACACAGAGAAAGACACACATACAGAAATGATTGTTTTAAAAGCAACTTCTTTAAGCTTACAATTCCAGTTTGCAGTCTATCACAGTAGAGAAGCCGCAGTGATGGGGACTTGCAGCAGCTAGTCACCCACATTCACATCTAGAGTGGAGGGAGACAAATGCATTGACCTTGCTTATTTGCATGCTCTCCATTGACTTTCTCCTTTCTTATACCAATCAAGACCTCTTGCCCAGGGAATGGCGCCACCCACAGTGGGCTGGGTCTTCCTGCATCAATTGACAATCCATGAAATCCCCAGGCATGCCAACCTGATCCAGACAATCCTTCATTAAGACTCTTCAAGGGTAACTCTTGGTGTCAAGTTAACAGAACTAGTTTTCTGTTCCTCTTTCCATCCAATCCCAAGTAAAGATGGTTCAACCAAAAATGGCATAGTACAAGGAAGTAGTTTCCTGATTCAAGAGGTTTGTTCTAAAGATATTAGTCATGGTTCTCTAGAGGAGCAGAACTGATAGGATGAATACATGTTCAGACACACACACACACACACACACACACACACACACACACATATATATATATATATGTATATATATATATATATATATATATATGTGGGATTTATTAGTATGGCTTACAGGCTGTGGTCCAGCTACTCCAATAATGACTATCTACCAATAAAAAGTCCAAGAATACAATATTTGTTCGGCCCACAAGGCTGGATATCTCAGTTGTTCTTCAGTATAAACCAGGGGGTATGAGGGCATGAGACCTACTTCTTCCAAGTAGCCTCCACCTACTTTTCACTAGCTCCCAATAATGTTATCATCTCACGCATTTACCAAGGGATTAGCCTATTTGTTATGTCAGCACCCTCATGATCTCAGTGTTTCTAGAGATGCCATCACACACAAAACAGAGGAGTAATTTACTAATAGTCGACATGGTGTGTGTGTTTGTGTGTGTGTGTGTGTGTGTGTATAGTGTGTAAGTGTGTTTACATAGTGTGTTGGGGAGGTACTGATTGTGTGTGTGGAGGCCCAAGGTTGACTTCAGATATATTCCTTAATTATTAACTAGACTATATATGGAGAAGCAGGTTCTCTCACTTAGACCTGGAGTCCACTGATTCAACCACGTATTTGTCCACCTTGTTCTGGGAACTGCCTGTCTCTACTGCACTGAATTGCAGGTGGTCTGCCAACAAATGCTGAGTGGGATCTGAACGCCAGTCCTCGCCTGCATAGCAAGCACTTTACCCACTGAGCAATCCCCCCCTTCCATTTGTTTTTAGTCTGCCCAAGCTGTCTACTACGATTTACCATCATAAAGTTCAACATGCAGACTCTGAGAAGACACACTCAGACCATAGCAGGAGTTCAGTTCTGATGTAGGTGACAGACAGGGACATGTGGAAGCTTCCGGGGAGAATTGAGGGACAGCATTCATATTTAGGCCAGAAAAGAAGACAGAAGACATTTTAGTCGCTCATCCCCCTGCCTCTGCCTCCTGAGAAATGGGATGAAAGACTATACCACCACACTCAGCTCCTCATCTGCTCCTTGAAAACCTTGGGCCCGCCAGCTCACATCTCATCTTCCTTATAGGGCTGTGGTAAAGCACATGCTATACTTTGTTTTTTTATGGCTTTAGAAACTGAGGTTTGAAGAGGTTGACTTAAAGGCACACATCGGTCAGCTAGGAAGCAATACCTCTGGCCTCTGGGAAAGCTGTTTCCCATCCCACAGCTCTTCCTGGAACAGCAGAGTCCAGCTAAGAGGCAGGAATCACAAATGCTCTCCAGGGATCCATACTACACACAGCCTATGAATGAAAGTAGTCCTGGATGGCAGGACCAGGCCACCAGTATTTTCTAGTCTATCCCTTCCCAGGTGACTCTTGAACCTGAAGAATCTCCTCGCTGAGGAATGATGCTTGCCTCCCTGGGTTGTGATCCCCAGAGCTGAGGAGCCCTCTCCCGAGACTATACTAATTAGCATGTGTCCTCTGTGTGTTTCAGCCTCTTGTTTCCTACTCTGCACCATGAAAATCCTGCTTAGTAATGTTCTGCTGCTCAGCCTGCTCTCCAGTGTGTTCAGCAGCTGTCCCAGGGACTGTCTCACCTGCCAGGAGAAGCTCCACCCGGACCCAGACAGCTTCAACTTGAAGGTATGTCCAGAAGGCCTTGCTATCTCCTCCTTCTGACTCCAAAGCAAATGCTAAATGAGACATTCAAGTCTCCAGGAGGTCATAGGGCTTGTACAGTGTAATGTGACCAAGAGGAAACGGGTGGAGCTGAGCTACATCTTTGACTATGACCCCTGTGGTCCTCCTACTTTACCACCAGATCCCTATGATCCTCCCTCTTTATCTTCCAATAAATATCTGTTCATGATGCCCTTGTCCCAGTGTTATACATAATACATGTATTGTGTGTGTGTGTGTGTGTGTGTGTGTGTGTTGTGTGTGTAAAGAAAATTAAAGTCTTCTTCCAACCCATGAACTAATTACTTTACTCTTTGCTGTGACAGAAGTCCTTGAATCGCAAGGAAGGGTTGGTTTTGGCTGACAGTTTGAGAGCACAGTCTATAATGGAGGGGACAGCATGGAGGCAAGAGCTTGAGGCAGCTGGTCACATTGTGTCCACAGCTGGGAAGCATAGAGAGATGAAACACCGATGCTCAGCTCACATCTTCTTTGTTCAGTCTTGGACTCCAGCTCTCCAGCTGGTGCTACCCACACTCAGGGTAGGGTTCTCTCTTGAAACACCCTCATCAGCTGTGTGTCCTCAACCCTAACCCCTCAAGCTGACAATAAAGGTCAACTATTATATTCCAGGAACCAGAAAGAATCTTACTTTTCTTACTTTCTGTGGTGTCACTGGATTAATATTCTTACGTCATTATACACTATTTCAAGTGATTTCTTTCTATGAATATATAACTTGTTCTCCATTCCCTGTCTGCTGAGCATGTATATTGTCATCCATTTTTATATTGCAAATAATTCTACAATGAGCATCCAAAATGTTCTCTTGTGTTTTAAATGTTTGACTTGAAGTACCAAACATTAAATTATTATTCATTAAATGAACTGCTTTCTTACTTCTTTAATTTCAGCTTAGATAGCTATTCTCTCCTAAGAAATCCAGTATAATTCAATTATATTTTTCCTTTGAAGTCAATAAAACTGCTTTCAAGGTGCCATCCTTCAAACCCCTCAACCTTTCAAGACAAGCAAGCAATTGTTCTTCCTTAAGGCAAATGTGCAGATGTGAAATCCAGCATAGCTGGTTACCAATAAACCTTGCTATCTCCTGGCTCCAGGTAGAAACATGGCCTCAGCCCCAACAGACAAACATTCCATTCCTCTCAGCCTGGGCACACCTGTCTTCTGGGTAGGAAGACACAGTCATGCAATAAGGAAGGGCAGTCCAGATGACCCCTTCGAGGGGATGTGTTTCTGATGCTCATCCATCCTATTTTCCTCTAGGCATGTCTGCCTGGAGGGTATCTCATCCTTCAAGAAACATCTCTTGCATCTCTTGCCTGACTTACTTGTCCCTTCCCTCTGTCTGCTCTTTCCCAGCCTTTCATGTTGGCTCTATTCCTCTGCCCAATCCCTAAACACGGGTGGCAAGATGCATGCGTCTTGACCCTCTGTCCCTCTCTGGAGATGCCACCACATACCCTGGCTTTTCTCTCCTACGCAGCAGGTAACTGTCAAAGGGAACCTCTGACCTTCTCTCTTGGGCTCAGGCCCAGGTCCAGGGCATTCTTTACAGCTGCCAGGGAGCCCTGCCTTTCTTTGCTGTCCTGCCACCTTGCACCTGTCTCTCCCTTCCCCTACCCACTAAATCCCACTTACACTTCAAGGCCAAAGTTAAGATTCACATCATAATAAACCCGCGGTCACTCACAAAGGCAAAGGTGAGGTCCAAGTGGAGGTAAAGCTAAGGAGCATACAGGAGAGGGAAATAGAGACCTCTAGGAGACCCAAACCAAGACGGGAAGTTCTGGAGGGTAAGACCAAGATCAGGACCAGCCAGAAAGAGCTGGAGAAATGGCATGGTCAGAGTGATGGTCTCCACCAGACACTGTGGTGCTTGGGGAAACAGCAGCAGCAGAGTTCCTGGTGCTCTGGGGTTGGCTTGGGTATGAGAATGAGCCCCCATGGGGTAGAATGCAAAATTAGCCCCACATGCTCAACCTGCCTATATCCCAGCCCATTGCTATAGATCGCAGGAGTTGTGGATGGCCAGTATATGTAGGCTGAAAATGAACACCACCAGGTTTATTCTCTCCAGTGACCTTTATTTCAAATATGCATGCACATTTAGCCACCTACTCTCAGACCCGGAGTTCCTTTAACCAATCTGGCCTTGAACTTTATGAGGGAATGAAATACATTCTTTCTTGGTGATGCTCACGGGTTGTGCTTATTCCGGCTCTTGGTGCCATGGCTAGCTTGCTCTTCCTGCTTTCCACCTCTCTGCTCTCTCTGTCTCTCCTCTCTCTCTCTCTTTCTCCCTCCCCATCTCTCTCCTCTCCTTTCTCTCCCCTCCCCTCTCTCTCTCTCTGCTTTCTCTCCTCTTCCTCCTCTCTCCTCTGTTTCTCTTTCCCTCTCCTGTCTCTGTCTCTCTCCTCTCTGTCTTTTTGCATCTCCCCCTCTCTCTCTCTTGCTCTCTCTCTCTCCTGTTTCTCTCCCCCTCCCCTTCTTTCCTCTCTCTCCTCTCATACACACACACACACACACACACACACACACATCCTTTCTCTGTGTGCATCTCTCTCTCCTCTTTCTCCTCTGTCCTCTCCTCCCCCCCCCCCGCTATGGTATGAGTTCCTTTACTGACCTATCTGGGTATCTCTGCATGGGGCCCAGTATGTGGGCCATAACAGGGTTCAGGCAGCCTGCCTCATGGAAACTGTGATTCTCAGAACATGAGGCTCCTTGCTGGTCACATCCTGGACAGCCACTGTAAGGACTTACACTTGGGTCTTTCTGGGGTGAAGGATTGGAAGCTCTTCTATCTCTCCATTAGCATCTCAGATCTTTGGGGGCCAGACAATACCGACTTTACCTCTGAGAAACAAGTCAGAAAATGGATTGGCAAAAGCCTCATGGCTGGAGATAGGTGCTTTGCAGAGCCTGCTGCCCCACCCTCCTCCCCAGGACCCTGTTGCTTGCTTGTTTTTCTGTTTCTAGTTCCTATTCCCTTTTAACCCATTTTAAGTAGAACAAAATGCCAAGGACATAAGCAATTATGTCTTATTTTCTGAGGCTGCAAATCTTGCCCATGCTTGCTCTGATGAGGGCAGTAATGGAGGAATTCACATTTCAGCGAGGGTCACCAACCAGTCTCCCTGCCAGATTACATAATCCTGACTTGTTCCCAGGATCCTCAGGACACTTGGCTGCATCAGAAATTTTTCTATTTCTACTCCTGGTAGGTGGCCCAAGTATGGTTGGCTTTTTGATAGACTATAATTTTGGTCAGCAAATGACTCATCCATTGCAGTGTCCTCTGGTCCTTCAACTAACTGTCAGTGATGCTTATTCTGTCAGTTCAACTAAAAGAAACTAAATTCACAGGGCTATTTTAGAGTCCAAAATGAAGACAAACACACTCTCAAAAAACAGTTCAGGGAAATGTATGTAAAAGTCCTATTGCAACAGAAGCTGCCTCCTGGCATCTCTTCCTGCAGGTAGGGAACATTCTTTGGAGGTGATTTGCAGCAGAAGCACTTCTAATGGATTTTTCCCGTGCTATTTATGGATAGGGTCTGCCTTTGAACATACGTATGTACATACATATTCAATATTATATATGCATATATATTGTGGGGAGGGTATGTACACATGAGTGCAGTTGCCCATAGAGGCCAAAAGAGGGTGTTAGATCCCCTGCAGCTGGAGTTACAGATGGCTGTGAGCCACCCATAAGTGCTAGGAACTGAAGTTGGTCCTCTATGAGAACAGTGCTCTTCACCACTGAACCATCTATCCAGCCTCTGGATTTATTTTTATAAAGTCTTCAGTGGTTAGGATTGAACCTAGGGCTCTGTGAATGACCAGGCATAAAAGCATATTAGCCATAAACTGCTACACAGTGCTTGAGAAATAGCTGTTCAGAAGCACGTGACTTGGGACATAGATGATTCCCTATCTTAGCTCATCCCTAGCTTTGTCTCTCATTTCTCCCTCCTGCCTGTGTCTTTGCAGGTGTGCATCTTCCAGTGTGAAGAAAAGGTCTTGCCCCGTCCTCTCTGGACTGCATGCACCAAAGTCATGGCCAATGGCTCTGGGCAGCTCAACCCTGCTGCCTCGGAGATGCAGCATCTGAAGCGAATGCCCCGGGTCAGGAGCTTGGTGCAAACTCGCGATACAGAGGCTGATGCAGATGCTGATGGGGTGGAACAGAAGCAGCTGCAGAAGAGGTTTGGGGGGCTTTACTGGGGCCCGGAAGTCAGCCAGGAAGTTGGCCAACCAGAAGCGGTTCAGTGAGTTTATGAGGCAGTATCTGGTCCTGAGCATGCAATCAAGCCAGCGCCGGCGCACTCTACACCAGAATGGTAATGTGTAGCCAGAAGGAGCCCCTCCCAGCTGCACCGGCCACTGCAACCCATGAGTGAGTTGGGCACCAACTAGCAGGGGGCAAGAAGTGACCTCATATATCCAGCTGTCCCAGGCCTAAAAGCATATTAGCCAGTCCCAAACACACACACACACACACACACACACACACACACACCATCCAGTCCCTCTCCCTTTCCCCCACACACATCGAAAGGACTCCAGGTCTTGGGAGGCTTGGCTCATAATGAAATTCACATCTCTGCCTCCAACCCATTTCTCCAAGGAGAAGGATTTTCCCACCATTCTCCTTGAGGCTGACCACTCCCATTCAGAGACTGGTTACCATGGGGATAATAGTAGTATGTTAAGATAACTAATTCCTCTATAGCTTTCCAGAAGCTTAGTTACTATGGGGACAGTTAAGTGGACCAATTCTAACAGTCAGTTACCATGGCAACCATTCAGCTCACCTTTCCTCAGAGACTTTATCTGAACAAAAAAAAAAAAACCAATAGCCAGCTCTCCTTTTAGCCATTTGCAAAAAGGCTGATTACTGCTCTACTTCAAAGACAGCTTATTCATCTCACCCTACATTTCAAGGTGGCTAAACTCCATGGAAACCATCAATGTCTCCCATTTCCCCATGCCAAAGACTTTCTGTTGGGACCCTGAGTTAGGCTTTTTGCTCTCATTTTATTGCAACTTGGTCATCCTTGTGTTTTGCCAAAGAAAAACCAGTTCTTTTCCATTTCTGGTGTCCTTGCTGAACCAGGGCTCCAGTCCAGAATTTGAGCCAATGGAGCTAGTAGGCTTCAGAACATGAACTAATGGAGAGTTAGCTTCCCCCCCCCCCTTCAGGCTTTTTGTTTTGTTTCCTCTTCCCAGATTGCCACTTGTGTCCTCTTCCTTTGCTTCATCCCCGCCCTCGGGTACACACATACATAGTCCTAAAGCCTCAGAAAACACACAGCAAAGATCCAGTTATTGCCAGCTGATTCCAAATCCAACTCTCTCGCAGCCATCACCAGTGCGGAACTAGGGAATGGCATTAGGAATCAGCACAGTGGATTTAAGAAAGAACCCAACCATCAAGTCTTCATCCACAGATGCCAATGTGAACATGAGCAGAGTCCCACACACGTCCCGAGACAGCTCAGAAACACGGCTTCATACAAAGCATGAGTTAGTTTGACCATATAATGCTGTCCCAACAGAGCTATTTCCCATCTCTGACGCAGAAAAGAAAAATGCAGGCATCCTGTCTTTTTGCTTCGCACACATCCAAGGTAGCCATGTTGCTCAGTCTTCTTTCCAGATAGATGCATCATATGCTAACCTTTGGTGCCCCAAACTAGTTGCCCACTTGTTTCAGCAAGTTTATCCCCAAAGATGGACACATTTATTAGGTTGTAGGGAGAAGACTGCTGCATTTGTCTCAACAGAATGGTTCATCTCCAAAGAGCCTGAGTAAACTTGCACTCCATTCTTGACAAGCATTCTATTTCTAAGCCAGACCTGTCTGATATTAGTAGTAAATCTTCCAGAAGTAGCACAAATTTTTCTAAGTCTTAATGACATTCTTTACAGACGCTCTTAAGGGACACCAAAGCCCATATCTAATTCTAAACCACAACAATATTCTTTACCTAAAGACAGTTTAAGATCAGTCCCATTAGCAAGAATCAATTTATTTAAAAAGAAAAAACTATTTGAGCCAGACAATTGCTTTTCTGCTTTTCTATTATACTTCCAGCTGAGAGGTGCTGTAACAGGGCTAATAACTGGTTTCTGTCTACTGCTTCACTCAACATGAAAAGTTCTTGATGGCAACATTAGCTAGTTCATTTGGGTATTATTTATGGCTGCTTGTCACTGTGTAACCAGTGTGCGCTCTCTCTCTCTCTCTCTCTCTCTCTCTCTCTCTCTCTCTCTCTCTCTCTCTCTCTCTCTCTCTCTCTCTCTGCACATGCATGGTGATGAGTTCCAGAGTGGATGTGTATGTGTGTGTTAATGAGCCAGTTGTAGCCAGCTGAGACCTAATGTTTATCTGCATTCACACAGCCCAATTTGCCATGTGTGTGATAGAAGTCCTTCCACTCTGGCCAGTTCCCTGCCTTAGTTGTTGCTGGCATCTGAGATGCCAATGCCAATCTATACTCAGAAGACTGGAGTTGGGAGAGGGGGCCATCCAACACTGAAGCGGAATGAAGGACCTGAGTGCAGACCCTGCCCTGGAGGGTCTGTGAGAAGGGCACAGCAGGACTTGGGGACAGCCTCTCCTGCTCTGACCTATCCTTCCGATACTTTCTGCTGTGCCCAGCCCTGGCCTTCTAGACATCAGCAGCACACTCACGATCCCGTATTCTCGACATCTAGCTTAGAGAGAACTTTAAGGGCAGTTTTCACATAGATGCTGAGAACTGGGGAGGGGATGAGTGGGACTGGGAAAAGGCTTGTCACTGGGCCTTTTCAGTCACAGCTCATCAACCTCCCTTTTAGCCAATGCATCCCTCCTGCCAGTAGTAGGCATGAGCTGCAGGTAAGTGGAGGGCATCAAGTAAGGACCCCTTCTGGTCACTTGGGAAGTTCTTCCTTTCACTTGCTGTGGTGGCCCCACTTTGGGTTACTTGAGTCTTAAGTCACTTGGGAAAATAGAACGGATGGCTCAGCCACCCTGTTGGAGTTGACGTTTTAACCCTTTCTGTCTTCCCAGGCATCCAGGTGATCCCCCGAACAGCATGTGTCCACACCCAGAACTGCAGGCCAGGAGTCAGGATTCCTTCTTCCCTGAGGCACTGAGTGCCCACAGCCCCTCCCTGCCCAGTTGTTGCCCTCTCCTCATGGCATGTTTCACCACAACCCTGTTGCTACATCAGAGTGTATTTTTGTAATTTCTCCAGCTAACATTTTAATGGCCCCATCTTCTCCCTCATCTTCTGCCCTCTTCTGGGGCCAGGTGAGAGGAATATGAAATCAGACCTGGGGTTTTGCCTCATCACTGCCATAACCTGTTTGTAAAGGACCCGTTCTTTTTGACCGATCGTTTGAAACAACTCTCTCCATTAAACTTCTACTGAGCAAATGGTTAATAACCTCGTTGGCTGTTTTTAAGTGGCATAATGAAGCAAGGACTCTGCAAACACACACTGTGAGCGCCGCCTCTCTCAGAAGCACAGGCTGGGAACCCAGACAGCTATGTGGACTACAAATTTGGCACAAGGAGATGCTGGGACATGACCACACTGAGGGCAACAGGCAAGAGTACTATGAAGCCAGATGCAAATGGCTGTGTGAATGTGTGCGCAGGGGATGGAAGGGGATGGAAGGGGAGACAGTTCATCCAGCTGCTCCTGGGTCCCACTCCCAGCTCTAGACCCGGCAGAAACATGTTTTTAGCCGCTACCATGTGATACAAAAAGCCTACTGGTTGGTGCCAGTGGGTTGTGACAGAAGCAAGAGAGTGGAAAAGCTGTCCACCTATTTTTTCTCTATGCAACACTAAACGTGGTAAGGTATATGACTGTCAAAAGTCCAACCAGGAAACACATAGAGAACCCAACTGGACTAACTGACCAGTTCAGTGTCTACATGGTAGATGGCTCTCGAGGTCCATTCACTCCTGCTGAAATCACAGGCCATAACTGCTTTTCTATAACCTGGAGGGACTAGTTCTGGGACCCCCCTGTGAGCAGCAAAATCATCCATTGCACAAGCTTCTGGGTACCAAAATTACCTCTATCTATGCTATCTAATACAACATAAACAGCATGAACATATTTGTTTTACTGTGCTCCTTATGGAATAATGAGAAAGGTCTGTATTTGGTTAGGACAGATGCAATTTGTTTTTAAGATTCTCAGTCTGCAGTTGGTTGAGTCTGCTGATGCAGTGGACAATTGTACCATAGAATGGGTAAATTATGAGCAATGGTTAATTTACTGTGTTTACACTGTTGTCATTTTAAAAAGCAGCACTCGAGAGAAAGATGCTATGCTACACAGCTTGGGTGGAGGGTTTTTTTATTGGGGGATAATGAATGGGAAAAGGGGGAGAGATGAGACAGGCCTCTGTGGACAGGGGAGGCAGAGAAGAGAGAGGCAGAGAGGGGAAGGGAGGGAGGGAAGGAGGGACAGGCAGGCAGGCAGAAAGGCAGAAAAAGAGGTGAGCAGGGCTCTTTTAAAAGGGAACATAGTGAATGTGCACAGGTGGTGCCCTTACTGGCTACAGCTGAGGGTGTATCCTGTCAGAACCCCAAGGGCAGGCCAGTACAGATGCCTGAAAACTAACACACACTTCTTGGGGTCAAAAAGTACAAGATGAAGGGGACTTCACTGTCCAGCAATGTCAGGAAGCCTTAGAACCCAGCCCTGGAGGACTCTAGGCTCAGAAGCAGCTCTCCACTCCTCTGGCTCTCTTCTCTCTCTCTCTCAGCAGCCGCTCACTCCAGCTCCTGACTTTCCTAAACAGGATGCTTAAGGAAAAAAAAAAGATCCCAGGTCTCCTTCCTCCTTCCTGCACTCCATCCATCCCCTAAAGTGGTGCACGCTGTAATCTCAGCACTTATGAGGCAAGAGGAGACCATGCTGGGGGAGTGCAGATATTTCTTACAAGGGAAACACAACTCCCTTTGTACTCCAAACGTCCTTTGAACATTTAAACACAAACACACCCCACCACCACTTCCTGCAGCCTGGTTTCATAGGCTCTTGGGATGATTAAAGTTGAATAAGCCAATGTGTGTGTGGGGGGGGGGGAGTGCTTTCTGCTTTTAGGACCCTGACCAGAGAGGCCAACTTAACTAGCATCTGTCCACAACCTGTGAAAGCCAATGTCTCAGGAGCAGACTATACTGAGCATGTCTCGGGAGGTCCCCAACCTTCATGTGCCAGAGGCAAATGATGTTTAGGGTGGCAGAGGGAGGTGGTGCCTGAGGAAGGGACCTAGGGACCCCAGCCTCTCTGGCTTCCTATTTTCACACTGTGCCTCCACCCTTGGTATGAGTTCCCAAAATTGCCACCTGCTTGGGAGGTGATGTGTTCAGGAAGTCCCTTGCAAGAGCCAGTCTTTCAGCCTCTGAGCTTCTGTCTTTTAAAGTTAGCCTGCCTCAGGTATTTTATTATAGCTATGAAAAGCTGATGAATATATAGAATGTGATTTATTTTCTCCTAAATTTCCAGCCATTCCCCATCAAGCACAGAAACATGCCCAAAATATGTCCTCCTATGAAAATGAATGTAAGCCATAGAAAACACTCACAGCCCAGATTACAATGCCAATATTATCACCCCACCCTACCCCAGTATGTACCGTTGGCAAGATATTCGAACTCCATGTCTTACTACCCTTATCTGTTAAAGCAGCTGTTCTCAACCTGTGGGTCCTGACCCCTTTGGGGGTCACACACAAGATATTTACATTACAATTCATAACAGCAGCACAATTACAGTTATGAAGTAGCAACAAATGAATATAATTTATGGCTGGGGTCAGCACAACATGAGAAACTGTATTAAAGAGTTGCAGCATCAGGAAGGCTGAGAACCACTGCTATAAACACTCAATACGACCTCCTTGAATTTGTTTCAGGACACTGAACCTAGAACCACACGTGTGTTCTGAGCTGAAAGTGTGAGCAAATGAGTCCCCTTGCCTACAGGGTCACATGGTACCATTTGCACTAATCGTAGGGACAGTTAAGAACTCAGTACAGGCACACACTAAGTCAGACAATGTACCATTTTATTCCTTATAAAATATATTTCATATCATTGCTGTAAAAACATTACATTTCATTTCACATTTAAAAAAAATCTTAACAGTAAAAATAATACTTGGAAGACAGCGGGGCTGGGTGGGGGAAGGGTGAGATGCGCCAATAAGACAAATTCACGGATGGGATTCTTCTCCCTTATTGTTTTGCTTTAATCTTAAAAAAAAAAAAAAAAAAAAAAAAAAAAAAGTTTTGTGTTTTGGGGTTTTTTGTTGTTGTTTTTGTTTTGTTTTGGTTTTTTGCCCCTGGTAAAATCAGAACCTGGGGTGACCAGAAAGTAACATAACAGATTTCTTCCACCAAATCAGTTTCCGTATCTAATTTCACAGGGTCCTCTAAGGTGTCAAGCTATACAGTCACTATGACAAGGCAGCCATTGCTCAAAGCACTGTCAGAAGTAGCAACATTGCTTTCAGGGCCAGGTTAAAAGCCTTATCATTGATGCAAGCCTACGTTACCAGAGAGCCCTTCGGCTTTATACCTGAGACTTCGGCTGGCCTCAGACAGTACTCCTGGACTCGCACCACGGAATTGAGAACGGTACACACTCACTTGACGGTGTTCCCAACATGGTACCAAGTCTGAAGGAAACTCTGACAGCGTTCTGGATAACGGATACATGGCTAAACAGTTTCCCAAGATAATTGTTTGCAAGCTACGCCTTGCTGTTTTCAAAAGCACACCTGTGGCGCCTTCACCCAGTCAGATTCCAAACCCTGCTGTTTTCAAAAGCACACCTGTGGCGCCTTCACCCAGTCAGATTCCAAACCCACGGGGCTGGGAGGCAGGGAGATACAGAGATGACAGGAGCAGGCCTGACGGCTGGGTGTGCTCACAAGCCACCCTTGCCCTTCAAACCCAAAACCAGACCATGTGTCAGTAACCAATACAGAAGCATCAAGATGAATGGGGGGTAGGGGGAGTGTGCACAACAGTGGTCGGGAGGCCACCACCGCCAGAAGGGGGGTGCAGGACAGTGGTCGGGAGGCCACCACTGCTAGAAAAAAGGGGGAACAAACACAGATGTGGAAGCTGCGCAGACATGGAATAGAGAACTGAACAGAATTAAAACTCCCTCAGCTTTTAAGCCATCCTATTAATCCCCTTTTTTCTCTCTCACTGTTCTGGCTGGGGTGCCAATGCCATAGGAAGCCTGCTTCGAACGGAGAAAATCATTATCGTCAGTTACATCTGCAAGCTCCAAACCAAGGCTGGGACTACACTGTCGCTGCTGAAGTGCAGGCTTAGTCCACACTGGGATTAAGAAGGGGAGAGGAGAGCTCCCTGGTGGGGTCTCTACATGTCCAGAAACTCCCTCTGTGTCTCTATATTCCCCTTCCCAATCCAGTAAGATTGGAAGCCGAGCATCATGGGAAGTAAGGAGAGAAAATTAACTTGTGCTCTTAATTACCTGGGAGGTTGAAGGGGCAGGAGAGCCCAGGGTTGCCTCTGGCTGGACTGGCTCGTTATAAAATTATACCCCTACCAAAGACACTAGTGTCTCTCCCCTCCATCAGCAGCCCAGGCTACCACAATACCCTCTACCTCACACATACAATCTCTTAGGTTCTCAGATTTTCTCATAGAACTTGGTATGTTGTTTCCCATGTAATGCCCCCAATGGACCCTTAGTGGTCAAGAGGATGGTCTCCATGACAACTAATGAGTCAATGCTGCTCAGCCCCTGGAGGGGTGGCCTAGTGGTATTCCCTGAGCCTGTGACACCTGGGACTTCAGTCCAAGACAGCTGGGTCCTAGAAGTTACGTTTAGCAGGCACAGAGGTCAAGTCTGCTAGGACCTACCAGAGGCTCCCCTAGGGAAAGAAGGCTTCATCATCAAAGACTTCCACATCAGACAAGAAAACCAGACATTCTAGAGCCTGTGACACTCTGGAGGGAAGAGGCCTCAGAAAGGACTTTACTCAGTGGAGCAAAGTTTCTGTGGAGACCCTCCACGCTTCCTCTCAGAGCTAAAAGGATGCTCAGGGTAGTGTTTCAAGGCCACATTCTCAAACTAAATTCATATTAGCCTTTTGGCTCAGGATTTTGGGGGACAGGCTTTGAGAAGAAGCCACATAAAGTTTACTGGCATGCAACCCAACATCTGAGGGAACCCAGACCCGAAAGTTGCCGCGGTAAAAGGGTATCCCTCTTCCAGCCCCAGAAGCTGCTCCAACAGAAATGATATTGCATCTTACCAAGTGCAGCCTCCTGCCTCTGCCCCCTAGGCCATCCACCTGCCAGAAGGATCTCACTTTTTTTTTTTCCTAAGAAAAGGAAATTCATTTTACTCACAGTCCATTCTGGAATAGCTAAAAGATCAATGGATGCACCAGCTCAGCACAAAAATGGGCAAGGCATCCATCCTGTCCTACTTCTGATGCGTACAAACTAGTCCCCAAGAGGGTGGAAGGGCGGGGGGAAGGGGGTAATTCTTTGGTCTCTGGTTCGCTGCACTATACCCTTGGTCAATTTTGGCTCTCTCCTATTTTAGGGGGGAAAAATATCTTCCTTTTTTTTAAAAATAAAACACTCCCACAAGGGGGGAGAAAGTGTTTTTAAGTGTTAAATCTTAGCCAATGGAGCCCCAGCTGCCCACATCCACTCCGTATCTCTCCGTGTTCTGCTGATGGCTGCAGGCCTGGAGGCCTCCTGGCTGCCCGGCAGGGTGAGGAGCGGGGCTGGGCGAGGCAGGCTCAGTCCAGGAAGCGCTGGCAGGCCTTCTTCCACCGGCAGGCTGTGCACCACTGATCCCGGTGCTCTATGCCGTACACCTTGCGGCACTTCTTGGCTTCTCCGCGGGCTTTCCTGACAAGGAATGAAGTGAGGGTGGCACCATGTAATGGAAGTTAGACCCAGACAACAGCCAAGCATGAGCGGGCAAGCAAGCAGGAGCTGGGAGGGGCACAGAAGTCAGTGGCACCCACAGCCAGAGCCACAAGGAAGAGACGGCAGCTCCACCACCGCGGCCTCCGCCTGGGGACTAATCCTGGAGGCTGCAACTGGGTAGAATCAAAGTCTACATCACCAGTGCTGACAGACAGAGGGCAGAAACCCCAAGGCTAAGGATGAGATGGCTCACCTGGAGCTGCTCTGAGCCCTGGGTGGGGAGGTGACGATCAGGTGAGACTTCACTGTGGGTGGTGGCTGCTGGGGCTCACTGAAGCTGAGTGACCGGCTCCGGACCTGGGTATGAGGGTTATAAGATCAGCTATGAGCAAGAGACCACTCAGAACCACAAGGCAACTCCCCGGGCTCTGCCATGCATGCCTCTCTGAGCCCCAGAGCAGGGAACCATAGATTTTACCCCAAAAAGGAAATTCTCAATAGATGGGGTCAAGTCAGGGCCAAAGACAGGAGCCACCATTAAGGCTTTAAGGAACTCACATGGAATTACCATCCAAGGGGCAAATGGAGGCATTGTATTGCCTTAGTGACACCTTCTGTGGACTAGGTTCTGCCATGTGTGACACTTCTCTGTGGCAGACACTTGAAACTAGAGCCACCTATATGTGGTTCTAATGACTTCCAGTTTATGTCAGTTCAGAGTCAAGGGTACAAATCCATGATGGCCTGAGATTTCTGGTCCAGCTCACACAGCCTGTGGGTGCCCCTCCTATGACCATCTGTCATGCTCTCCCTTCTGACACCCACACATTCTCTCCCATCCTTTCATCTAGGCACTAGAACTCTAACAAGCACTCACAGAGCAAGGGACTGAACTGAGCCTAGCCTTGCCCAGCATATTCCTAAGGAAGAAAATTGCTTCACCCTGACTCCCCCCACACCCTCCCCCCCAGGAGCCCTTCTAGCTGCTGAGGGGAGCTGTAGCCAGACAGGACACACAGAGATGTTAATGAAGTATGGGGGGGGGGGCGGATACAGGCAATACCAGCCATGTGCTATATACCAATGACACAGACCCCCAGCCCTGGGGATGTATGCAAAAGCTTTGGGGGTACTGTAGTCCACACTCACCGGAGAGAGGGGGGAGGTGGTGGTAGGGGCAGCAGCCCAGCTGATGCTGGTGTAGATGTGGGGAGAGACAGGGATCTGGAAGGATGGCAGAGCCTGCAGAGACAAGAGTGTGTCAGCCTGTGCTCCTACTAAGGAAGCATCTGTCTCTGGATCCAGTAACTTCCCATTTGCAACAGAAGTCATATCTCTGCCTAGTCAAGAGCCTGGAAAACACCAAGACAGCTAGAGAGGTTTTCCCATAAGCATCCTCAAAGCCGTCTAACCTGTCATCAACACAGCCTCCTCCTTCCTGAGAGGCTACACTCCTACTTAGGGCTGCCTGCATGCCAGCCTCCTGTTATTCAGTGGCTGAGTTACCTATGGAGAACATGCTTCAGGCAAAAAGTCCAAAGCCTTCTGAGCCTGAGGACTATTTCCAGAAAAAAAACAGAGAACTGCCAGGCCCTTCCTCAGGAGTAGGGATACAGGCAGGGATGTCTGGCTTAGGCCTATTTCTAATGGTACAAGCCATAATGCCCAGAGGCTACAGGGTCAGCTAAGAATGAACCTTAGCCAGACACAAACTAAGTGGCCATTAATTCTAATGAGGCGAGCCCGCTTACTTTGTACTTTTGCTCACTGAAAGTACCACTGGTTTGGAGTGTTTTGTTTTGGTTTGTTTGTTTGTTTTGGCCCTTACTATGTAGTCCAAGCTGACCTTGAGTTCCCAGGTGCCGCCATTACAGGCATGCACAAGCAGACCTGGTTGGAAGCACTACTCTTTACTAACTTGCAAACTGATCAAGCCTGCTCAAGTCAAACTATAAACACAGAAAAGGTTTTAAACCAGCATACAGGAATGTGAACCTAGCTTGCAGGGTGAAGGTCACTCTAAATGACACTGCCCACCTCAACATGACAACTTTCCCAGGCCCAAGAGAATAATGGAGTTGTCTCTCTTGGGCCTGTGTCTCCCACATCTCGAGGAAATGGTACTCTGACAACTTATAATCAGTCCTAGCCAAATCCACATTGCTAACCTCAGCTCCACCATGCACTTTGTGAGAGCAGGGGTCATGTCCTAGTCTAACTGGAAGGTTTACCTAACCCAATGCTGACACCAAGTAGGTACTCAGAGCAGCACTATCCAGTGTAACACACTCCTCAGAGCTAAGGAGTTGCCTGGGAAGTCCTACATGATTCTGTTGATTCTTCTAGCCAGTCTTGAAAGTGAAAGCTCTCAGTTCACACCCTGACACATGGCTAGAGTACTTATCAGCCCTGAGTGTCACAAAATTTGTTGCTGCTGTTTTTGAGATGGGGTTTACATATAGCCCAAGCTGGCTCTAACTCCCCGTGTAGGACCCTGAACTCCTATTCCTCCTGTCTCCACCCTGACTGGGATCACAGGTTATGTGTCCCTGCCCTGGGTTTATGCTCAGGATCAACCCAAGGTTCTGCACACGCTCAGTAAGCAACTCTACCAACTGACCTACATCCAAGCCTTTCCTTTTCCTTCTCTGTGGAAATAAGATTAGCAACTCAGTCAAGGTGCTCAGAGGCCTATTGTCTAATAGCCAGTGACCACAGTGATCCCAGGCTAAGCTCCCACATATGCCTGTTCCAAACCTGGTATGCGTGGTCAGCCTGAATGTGCCAGAAGGAGCCAGGAGCTGACTTGCTGAGTGCAACTGAAGGCAGGGGAGACTCCAGGCCAGGGTGTTCTGGGCCAGAGGACTGGACTTTGGGCGGAGGCAATGAAAGAGCGGCAAGGGACGGGCTGGTCACACGGGAGGTGGGGGCTGGCTCGCTGTTGGGTGTCCCAGGGGCAGGGGGGGCAGCCACAGCCAGAGCAGATTCTTCCTTCATCTGCATCTCTGTATAGTAAAAATCTTCCTCTCTCTTGAACTGATCAGGGTCCACGGTGTCCCTGTGTGGAACAGACATTTAGCCATCATTCCTTAATGATGCTACCTTGGTTTGAAGCCTGGGGGTGGAGGGGTGGGGGGTGTTCAAGGAGAAAGATGTTGGGAAAAGTACCCAAGAGAACATCCAGGAGTGCCATCAAAAGGGATCAGAACATGCCCACCCATGGAAGTTCCTCTTCAGCACAAGGGCTCACACAATGGCAAACGTGTATGAGTACAACCTAGTCCTGGCACAGACCAAGCCCTCTTGGGAGCTGCCCCGACTATAGCACGCTCTCGAGGGCTGAGGCAGTTCACACCAGAGGTGCTGCCCTGAGGGTTCTGTACAGAGATGAGGCCCTGCCATGAGTGCCAGAGCACTGATATAGACCTAACTCCCCCACACAGGAGCACAAGTAAAACTCGGCCACTATGTCTAAGCCATAGCATCTCACCAGTGATTAAACCAAACCGTTCTCTTTCTACCCAGAACTGAAACAGCTTGCTTCCTACACCAGGTGGGAAGATCCCACAAGAGCATCAATGTTGACCACGATATAAAGAATCTCCTTGCCCCGTGAAGGCATCGCACATTCAGTGGTCAGAGAGGAGAACTGGACAGTGCCTACAGGAAGTCATTTCACCAGAAGCCTCTGGACTGCAAGTCCTGTGGAGTTAGCAGGCTGGAGGCGCCTCAGGCAAGAGTCACCAAGCACTGGACCTACCCCAGGTGGAGGGCTTTGACATGTCGCTTGATGCCCACGATTGAACGAAGAACTTTGCCACAGCTGGGCCACAGGCACTTGTACATCACCTTCACAGAGTTCTAGGGGAAAAAGAAGTCTTAGTAACCAGTGTGTGGGAACACTCTCCCAGCCTCCCTTGTCACTTGATGAGGACTTCAGCTGGCTGCCATCCTCAGCCAGACCCAAAAGAAAAAACCTCTAGGAAGAGACTCCCAGAAAGCACAGAAACATGCCCAGGAGAACCAGAGGGATGCCTTGGTGGCCACATTAAAAAAAATACATAAATAAATGAATAAATAATAGTGGCACACACTTGTGATACCACGGAATGGCAGAGACAGCAGATCCTGGACTCACTGGCTGCCCAGCCTAGCCTATTTGGTGAGCTCCAGACCACTGAAAGAGCCTATCTCAAAAGCTAAGATGGGGTGAGGTGGGAGAGGCAGATAACTCATGATAAATACCTGAGGTTGACATTTGACCTCCACATGCATGCACACACAGAAACACACACACACACACACACACACACACACACACACACACACACACACACACAAAATGAAAAGGAACCAGCCTCAGCCTAGGATTTCACAACAGGTGCAGCAGCAAAGGAAAACCAGAAACACCTGGGACCTGTGGAGTCCCTGCCCTCTGAGGATGGCTGTCCCCACATGCTCACTAGTGGTCAGTCACCTACCTTTCTCTTGCGTGGGGCTGGTTCATCCAACAGGAATGGGTCGGAATCAGTCTCAAAGCCATGATCAGTTTGGGGAGACCCGAAGGCGTCTCCCAGGTACTTGGGGCTGGCCTGAGGGTGGGGAGGCGAAGGGGTGGAGACGCCACTGCTCCCGCTCCAGTGCCCGCTGGTAGTGCTACTGCCGCTGTCTGACACGTCACCGCTCTCCTTCCATGGGTCACCACAAGCTGCACGGGGAAACTGGCCAGAGAGAGGTGAAAGAGCACTCAGGAGGCCTCGTCCCCAGCAACAAAGGGGGGGGAAGTGAGTAACTGATGACAAACATGAAAATATTATTAAAATGTAATTATTAGAGAAATTTCTTCCTGAGCTACAAGATGAGGGCTGGCGCAAACGCTATAGCAATTTGGAGCTATAATTGCTCTGCCTGGTAGACATTTTCTGCCACGGCCACATGGGTCATCGCTGACCACCACACCTACTCTCAACTATCTTTCATCGAAGATTAATAAAAAAGAATGCCATTAAAAGCTAGTTCATGCTGTACATGCTAAAAAAAGAGCCTTTCCTAGTTCCAGCCTGGCTGAGGACATACATCCACATAGCGGTAGCAACATGGGGCTAGCTACCTTCTTGATGAGTTTCCTAAAAATGCTTTTCAACCATTTTAACTTGGACAAATGCAGGAACGTCTGTGAGTGCACAGAAATGTCCTGGAACTTTCAGTGGCCACCTGCCCCCTCAAATTCAGACATCTAAGAAGGAAGAATACAAATAACAAGTGGGATTTTTATGCTTAGTTTTACTTTGATTGCTAGGCCCTTGTTCATACTAGGCAAGCACTCTAGCACTGAGTGGAACCCCAAGCCTAGATTTTTTTTTTTTTTTTTTTTTTTTGGTTTTTTTGACTGATGGGTCTATAGGCTGCTTTAGGCTCAAGCTGGACTTTGTCTTCCCTTGCCTTCAAATCCAAGCCAACTGATCACATAAGATGATCTGAAAGTCTAATATGGGGGGAACAGCAAGAGAGATAGAAAAAAACTTATGCTCCCAGCAGCCCCAGCTCCCTCTCTGGACACACATTCTCCTGACTCTAGGCTTGAAGAGACACTGCCACACCCTAAGTAATCATAGCAGACCTGAAGGCTGGGCCAACTCCAAGGTCCCACGTTTCCAAAGGAGGCTCTCTTTACTTCTAGGAGACTCTTGCTCAGAAAGGATGCTGGATAAAGAACCTCTCCCTCCCCCATATACCCCTTCTAGTTTTAAAACTCGAATCACTTGCTCTTCCTGGAAACAGAGAGTACCACAGATACACATAGAGTTCAAAACTTGGGCATAACTCAAGAAGCATCCAAAGCAACTGATCATGGACCCATGAGCATGGGCTCAAGAGGGAACGCCAGCCATGTTTTCTCCACTTCGGCTCCTTTCCTGAATCTGCTGACTCAACTTCTTTTAAACTTCTTGAGGATTTGAGTCTTCATGCACATTAAAGCAGGCTGCACTGATGGAATTCACCACTAGATGTCCCCAAGTGCAGTGACAGTCTCTGGTGGAGTAATTAAATTTGCTTTCAATCAAAGGTGAGGGACACTTGTGAAAACCACTTTCCTCTCAGTATGAGTTAGAACTAGCTCCATATTCTCCTACAAACTGTTAAATAGCTTTTAGGACTGGAAGATAAGCAATTGCTACTAAAATAACCAAAGCCACTACCAGTCTTATCAAAAGACTTATTAGTCTGCAATCCTTCTCGGATGCTGCCCTTCCAAGCACTGGTAAAGCATCTGGGGATTATAACCAGAAGAGTTCTGTTGGCTTCTATAAATCTGAAGTCACACTATTAGGGACTTTTTTTTATTACAGTGTCAGAGAGAGAGAGTATAAGTAGAGGTCAGAGGACAACCTAAGAGAGTTACTTGTTTTCTTCCACCATGTGGGCCCCAGGAACCAAACACAGGCTGCCAGGCTCAGCAACAAGCATCTTCACCCAGTCTTTTCAATGGGCAATACTATTGGTTTGTATAAAGCAACCAGATTTGAGACTTCAGCTCAAGTATTTGGCCTGCAAGCCCACACTAATTTATGAGGCTGACTTAGGCACTTTAGAAGTTGAGTATTGATAATGGGAAGCCACTAGTGAACAGGCAAGCATAGATCTGCTTTTGTGAACTAAATAATTGTTCCTGTAGGCCCTGTCCAGGCTCCTACAGAACTTGGAACTTGCTTGAGTGGTCATCTTGGCTGAGTGCCGAGTTCAATCACTGTCACAAAGCGCCAAGGTATTTCTGCTCAGATGGGGAAACTGAGCTTCTGGTTGATAGCCCTGAGAGCCTCCGGAACCCTACAGCCAAGCTGACACTGGCAATTCGAAGCTGAAAAGAGAGAGTGTCAGTTGCCAGCCTCTGCCATCCCAGGAGTCAGCCCAACCCCACTTGCTCACCAGAGAAGATGGGCTCAGCCCCAGGAGGACTCTGCACGACAGGACTGCAGGACAGAGAAGTCAGCACCATTGCAGCCATCATCTCATCCATCTCCACTGCATCCGACTTCCTGGATTCAAATGAGTAGGGAGTGTGCTTACTTTCTGGGGCCTGGCTGGTCCACAAAGCCCACAGATTATGCTACCACATCCGCTTACTTTCATGGGATCACCTTACCCTGCTGTGCTGTCCTCTCAGAGCCAATCCCACCCCCACCCCCAAGCAACCAGCTCAATGGAAAGTAAAGCAACAACCCGTGAAAAGTGATTGTTCTGGGTGTTGTTTCAATCAGCCCAGGATGAGCAGGTGGGGCCCCTGCTTAAACTGGGGGGGGGGGTGACACCTGAGACAGCACTGCTCTCCCCAAACTCTCCTTCTAACCCTACAACTTAAAATGGAACATTTTATTTGAGTGCGGAGAGAAGATTCAAAATGTTAAGATGAAGCATGGGAATAAATGATGCCCACTAATCTAAACACTAAAATTACCTCCTTCCTCTGTCTTAGATTCAAATTTAAGAGGAAACAATTACACTAATGGATTTTTCTTTCCCCTCTGCCAAAATAAACACAGCATTCTGTTAGCTTCTGAATGTAAACAGAACCCATTACATAAGCCAGTAAGCAAACAAACCAGGGTAGAATAAATAACCAGATGACACCATCTCCCACTGCTAAGCTCCATGCTTTAAACAGGCTGCCTAGAATTTTACGTGTGCTCTTTTTTCCTCGCCTTTAAATCCATACAGTTACACGATTTGGAAGTAAAATAAACACTATCTGAAATCTAAAGTATTTGAGGGAAACTAGAATATAATAAACTGCCAGTGGCTTGCCTATTTTAAAGGATTGTATTCACCCATTACTTATACACGAGGTCTACCAAACCATGCAACTGGGTTTGAGACAGAGGGACCAAAGCCATCAACACATTAAACACTACATGATTGTTGTGTTTTCACTTTCTCAAAAGAGAAAAATAAGTTCTTTGCAGGCCTTCCACTGGATACACGATCAGAGATGCTGCTCCTTTGGTCTTAAAACACTGTTCTGCTGGGCCAGCAAGATGGTGCAGTGGGTAAAAGAGCTTGCTGCCAAGGCTGACTAGCTGAGTTCAGTGCACAGAGCCCACGGAGTAGAAGAGAATTGACTCCTGAAAGTCGTCCTCTGGCGTCCACAGGGGCAGCACAGCATGCACACATAACCCATACATAATAAATGAATGTAATCTAAAAATTGTTAAGCCCACCTGGTCCATCTAGAGCCCTCATACCCACAGAAGAGGGTGGAATAGAGTTTAGCTGTTTGCATATCTTGCATGCAAAATAATCTTAGTTGGCCAAGTTTGTTTTTAACTTTCATTTGTTTATTATTATGTTTGTGCATGCTGTGTGAATGTGGAGATCAGAGGTCAGCTCTATGGAGCAGGCTCCTCTTTCCGCCTCTACGTGGGTTCCAGGCATTGAACTCAGCTTGTTGGGCTTGCACAGACATCTCTCCGCCCCAGATTTTCTTTTTAAATCTTAAAAGAACAGTATAGATAGACCATAAGATGTACACCAGGATCCCAGGCTGGCATCTTATCATTAAGCCCCAAAGCAGAATATCCATTCTTTACTCAATGGCTCTTAGCACCCAAGTGAAGAATCAGACCACCTTGCCTAGGCACAGGCTGCTGCCCACCTGTCCAGTTTTGAGCCAAGAAAGGATGGATGGCTTTACTTTTTAAAATACTATTTCAGAATCAAAAGCGTTTTACTTCTTGACAGATGACACACAAAACGATACTGAATCACGGTAAAGTTTGGGGACCCTGATTAGTTTTCATTAATGCACGGCATGACTACAGGCTTTTATGTCTATGGCTGCAGCACCAAGTAGCAATGACAGAGTATGCTTGGCCCACAAGTCTGAAATTCTCTCCACCCTGTATGGAACCCGTGCTGGCATTCAAGAAAAACGATGAGCTGAGTTTAAGCCTTCACCAACCAAATAGATATAACCACCAAGAGAGTTTTAGAGAAGAAAGGATGTTACCTAGATGTTCTTCAAATGATGCCTCTTCTGTATCTAGCTTCACGATCCCAGCAGTTAGGTGCCCAACACCCCCACACTCCTCCCACCATGTCCCAGCCCACTCCTACAAACCTCTTCGGGACATCGATGTTCCTAGACACGGGTCTGTAGGCTGTCACTTGGGATGCGGTCCCCTGCAGCTCTGCTAGCCACACCTCTTCCATTTTACAGCAAATCTGTAACTTCTGGTCCAGCAGCCGGACTGTCACCTTGTCCTCGGCCCAGCTGTGCTGCTCCACCAGGCCCTTGCACTCCTGACCCCCATACCACACACAGACCTACAGGGGGATGGTGGCCAAGGGTCAACACTCAGGCGTTCCGACACCAAAGCCCCCAGAGATCTCCGTCCCGGGTATCAGGCTATCTATCTGCTGTAGTCTGTGCTTCGATACACTCATCTTTAATTTGTGCATGCTAAGATCTGGTTACATGTTAGACACTTAATCCCCAAGACCAGTGTCAGGAAGTGGGGTCTAGTTAGTGTAAGTGAATATGTCCTGAGAACTGTTGCTCTATCAAATGGCATGTCATAACAGGAGAGAATTATCCAGAGAGTGGGGTAGGCGGGGAGAGTGTGAACTATTATAAAAGTGGGTGCAGACCCTCACTCTCCTGTCCTTCTTGTCCTCTCAGGATTCCCAGTTTCCAGAAGTTTGAGCTGGATGAAATACTGTCTGTACATTTCCCCACCTTGGGTTTTCCATTACAACAGCCTAAACAGACCAGAAGAAAGCAGGTATTCCCAGGCACCTGCTGCCCACCCAAGCACACACACGGGCTAGCCACACGGGACTAAATCTTCTACTACAGCTTCCCTACACACTGTGCACCCTACAAGATATTGAGTAGGCCAGCACCTGGGGTTTCTCTGACCCTCAAACCTACACTCATCCTTCGGTTACTCATGCCCCTGTCCTTGCCTCTGAACTGGTAAACACCTCTTACTCAATGTTTTCCTTCTGGAGAGTCCTAAGTCCCATTCTCCTCAGCATTGTACTGGAGGGAGGGGGATAGACTGCTCTCTCATCAGGGTACCTGGACTCTGGAAGGCTACCTTATCTCAGGAGGACAAAGGTCTAGGGGGCACTGAGCCTCATGGGAAGACAAAGGCCAAGTCTTCGTAGATGGATGCTGGAAAAGGCAATGGCAGGAGCCTTCTGCCATTGGACCTTGCTGCCAAGGCTGACTAGCTGAGTTCAGTGCACAGAGCCCACGGAGCTGGACCTTGTAATGAATCGGGCCTAGGTAACCATGGGCCCAGCCATGGCAAGGGGATGCAAGGAAAACAAGGACAGTCCTTATCAGATTTGGACTACACAGCCATCTGCAGTTTCTGCAATCTCTTCTCTAGCGCCTAAAGTCTAAGGTCCTTCTCCTTGTTGCCTAAGGTTGTGAAGTAAGGCAGATAAAAAGCTAGGGAGCTGAGGCCACACTGTGATCTGAGGTTCTGAGCATCCCACAATGCCTGGCCACTCTCTCCTCCACATGACAGTCAAGAATATGCCCTGGTCTGAAAGGACAGTACATCTTCTGCCCAGAGCCCCAGTTTATAGGACTTCCAGGCTACCACTTAGGAAGCCCTAGTCTCCCAATCCCAACACTCAAGAGACAGGGTGCCCGTCCGTGTTAGGATCAACCTACCTTCTGTCCAGGCTGAAAGGCCACCTTTGGGTGGCCTGAGGTACCCAGAGCCTTGAGGAGTTCCTTGGGCTGCTCCTGGCACACAGGGTCCTTAGAGGTGTGTGAAGGCTGGGGCGTGGCTCCTTCAGGCACTTCTATCTGTGGCTCCAAAGGCAGGCTGGCCCCCAGTGGCACCTCAGAGGCACTCGGTCCCAATACCCGGGCTCCCAAGAGGGAGCGCTTACCAAGGCGTCGGGACAGCATGCTGGATACTCTGCTTCCTCTGCGGAGGAAACAAAAGTGGCAGTGAGTATGAGTGAACTCTCTCTCCCTATCTCTCTCCCTCTCTCTCTCTCTCTCTCTCTCTCTCTCTCTCTCACACACACACACACACACACACACACACACATTAATTTCTGTGCATATGTGCCCCAGCACATGTGAAAATCAGAGAACAATTTGCTGAAGTCAGTTCTCTCTCTACCATGTGGTTTGCAAAGGTAAACTCAGGACATGGGCTTGCAGGCAAGCTTCATTACCTGCTGAACCATCCTGCCAGCTCTATCTTTTCTTTATTAAAAAAAAAAATACAAAAAATTAATACCTATTCCTAGGAGGTCATGTAAAAAATCACTGATGAACTCAAAGTAAAGCCACTTGTGAACCTGAATCCCAAAGACACCCACTCCCCCCTTGCTCCTGTTTCCTTATTTTTATTTTGTTTTTTAAGACTCCTGTTTCACACAGCTTAGGTGGAAACTTCCTATGCAGCTGAGGGTGACCTTGAATTTCTGATTCTCCTGCCCCCACCTCAAGTATTCATCACCACCATGCCCATCTTCTGTGGTGCTCCAGACAAACCGCAAGCTCCATGCACACTAGGCAAGCGCTTTACCAACTGAGCCACATCCCCAGCCTCACACACACACACACACACACACACACACACACACACACACACACTTTTTTTTGTTTATTTATTTTTAATTTTAAAGCATCCTGCTCCTTCTATAACTGCACTGGTATACTCTGTTCTCCCTGTTTTTGTTTTATTGTTGAGACAAATTCTTGCTAGGTACCTATGGCTGGTCTGGAACTTACTATACAAGTCAGTAAGCTGGCCTTGACCTGTGGCAATCCTCCTGCCTGCATCCACAAGGACAAGCCACTTCACCTAGCATTGGTTTTCACTTAATATAACAGCTCAGTTTTGCCTACATCATTGAGCGCTGATCTATAGAAACAGCCACCAGTACTTTCTAGGCAGGTGTAATGCTGCTGGTTTAACAAATTCCCCCATTACTTCCCAGAAGGCCAAGTCCCGTGTTTTGCTGTCTCAGCTACTCTACCTTCATCAGGCATCCCCTGAGCCAAGCCCCCGCCCCAACACTCCTCACCCCCCACCCCTCCACACACCCCCGCATACATAGCCACTATTGCTTCCTTAGTGAGGCTCCTTCTCTTGATATTGCCACATCAACACTGAGGGCTTTTGTTAGATACACAGACTCCCAAGCTCTTCAATGCTGCAGACAACTTTGGAAACCCACCATGAAACTAACACCACCACACCTGGAGAGGTAGCTCAGTGGTTAACAGCACTGGCTTCTCTTTCAGAAGACCATCCTGGTTCCAGTATCCATGTGGTTGCTCACAACCATAACTCCAGTTCTAGGGAATCTGATACCCCATTTCTGGTCTCTGCCAGCACCAAACAGTGCACAGGCAGACAGCCATACATGCAAGCAAAGCACTTGTATGCACAAAGTAAAAAGAAAAAAGAAAAAAAAAAACTTTATCATCAACTAGATGAACAAAGACCAGCCTCTGCCAACTCACACAGCCTCCTCCTCCCAGCCGCCCTGAGCCTCTCAACCCCTCTGGGTCTTCACCTATACGTCTGGTCTCTGCCCTTCAAGGTCTGTTTGTCCATTCAGTTCATACCCAGCTGGAGAACAGCTGGGCATGAAGCACATTCCAGGTGTGGTGCGGCTGGGATGGGCATCGAAACTCCAGTGTTTTCAGAACTTTGATTCTAGCTGCTGCTTCCCCAGCCCAGGGCACCACCAGACTAATTGGACACAGGCTGAATGTCTCAAAAAGATGTTCCAGAACATCCCTCCTCCTCCTCTTCCTCCCTTTCCCTTTCCTTCCCAGTCCACAACCAGAAGCCTATCAGGGCCATCGAGATAACTCAGTGAATAAAGTCACTTTCTGCCTAGGCTGATGACCTGAGTTCAATCCGAAGGACGCACATGGTAGAACTGATGCCTCTGACCTACACACACACACACACACACACACACACACACACAGTAGTGAACTGTGTCTCCTAGTGCTAAATGCCCTTTAAATACTTGTTAACATCAACTGTCTGTGAACAGGTCTGTAAGCCTTTATTTTCTGCCCTGGCAAAAAGTACCTCAGGGTTATTTATCTGGGTCCTGTGTCACAGCCTCACCCCAGACATCCTTGCTTCTTTTCCCAACTAGCCAGGCAAGTTCTACTAGCAACCAAGACAGAAAAACATAGCTATAAAAGAGGCCTCCGAAAGAGTGAGAGAGCCAGAGGGGATGGAGGAAACCAAGGAGACAAGGTCCTCTAAATCAACAGGATCAATGCTCGTAAGTGCTCACAGGGCCTGAGGCAGCATGCACAGGGCCTGCACGGTCTGCAACAGGTGCTCTGCACGTCCTTTACGGCTTCCCGTTTAGTGTTTTTCATAGAATTCTAGAATGTTCGATCAAGTGGGTCTCTGACTCTTATGCCTTCTCTTGGGCTCTTTCCTTCCCTTGGTGTATCTATCACAATTTCAATGTGATAGATTCTGTTGTATCTTATACTTTATTTTGTCTAAAATGAATGAATGAATGAATGAATGAATGAATGAATGAATGAATGAAAGAAAACTTAGCCACTAGGGTAAAGGCTAACAACTGAACTATACCTGCTAGAAGAGGGAAAATTAGTTTTCTCCAATGGAGTGACTGTATATCAACTACTCCAGAGCAGCCTCATGTTCAAGGGCAGTCAACCAACATAAAATGGACTCAAGTTTGTTTGTTTCTTTTTGTTGTTTTGGCTTTTTATGCCTTTATTTGGATGGTTTTGCTTTGGGTTTTTTGTTTTCTTCTTTTTCTGATGTTTTGCTTCCTTGGTTTGGAGGAGTGGTTATTTATTTTAGAAAGACTTTAAGTTGGAAAGACTTTAAGTTGGATGGGTCAGGAGGGGAGGGGAGGCTGGAAGGACTTGGAGGAGGTAAAACATTTCAACTTAAAAATTGTTTTCAATGATAAAAATATAATAGAAAAGAAGACTAACAACAAAACAATAACTTTCAAAAAGTGGCAGGCGGGCCGTGGTGTTGCGCGCCTTTAATCCCAGCACTCAGGAGGCAAAAGCAGGCAGATATGTGAGTTTGAGGCCAACCTGGTCTACAGAGAGTTCCAGGCCAGCCAGGACTACATTGAGAAACCCTGTCACTGGGAGGAGAAAAAAAAAAAAAAGATGAAAGAAGAGGGGAAAAGTGGCAAGCACTGAGCAAAGTAGAAAGGCTGGTTCTGGAAGCCACCACCCAAAGGCTGTAATCTGATATCTTGGCAACTCATCCAGAAGCCCCCCCCCCCCCCCGGAAACAAAGCAAAGATGTGGCAGGCAGAGTCCCCAGGTTAGGTGGCTGTTGCCTTCACATTCTCACATTGGAGTCACTCTTTGTGACTACAATTTAAAAAAAAAAATGCATCCCAGATAAATGGCTTTTAAACTGGAGCCACTGGACCAGCTATGTAGCTAAGCATAGAGGGTATACCTGGTGTAAGAGAGGCCCTGGGTTCAATCCCAGACTCAGGAAAGAACGGAGCAAGAGTGAAGGGGAGCTAGAGTGTAATACCACTTACGGACAACAGGTGGAAGCACTAACACAAAGAAACCGCCAGCCCTTGGGGAAAAAAAAAAAAAAAACAGGAGGCACCAGCTCCCCCCCCCCCCTTTCCTGAGGCGGAAGTTTGGGGTTTCTAGTACTGAAAATGAAGACAGGGGTGTTTCCAAACCTCCTCGTTCCCAGTCTTCAGAAAGAACCTGAGATGTTTGGGCAACAAACTCTGATGATGTTTTTGGAAGCCCGTCTTCTTTTTAAAAGAATGCTCTTCTGTTGGTTGGTAAGCCTGCACCTTCCAGAAGCTGGAGGGATCTGCACAAATAGGCAACTGGCCTGCTTCTGGCTTGCTTCCACAGGCTGGATGCTTTCTCCAAAGATCCACTCAAAAACACACATTATGCTGCCAGGATTCAGAAGTAATGAGGCACTAACAACGGAAGTTGGCTGGAAAGACGGGTAGAGGGTCAAGGTCACACCTACTCTGGGGGGTGCTAGCTGGTCACCCGGCATGGAGGATCTCACCCTTCCTCCTAGCGTGCATGCACCCCCTCCCACTGACCTCTTTTAGGCCCCTCTTCCCCAACCTCTGCATCTATCTACTGCTCCCTGAATGCTTTACTAAAAGCTACTGATGGTCCCTGAACCAGCCATCCTTCGATTTGCCCTGTGGTTCTGTGGCAGCAGAGAAAAATGAAGAAACCTGCATTATAGAGAATCATGTGACCAAATGCTACTTTCTGGTTTTACATTCTCCACTAGCAGAATTCCTGCCGGGGAATAAACTCATGCCAAAGTGTTCTCAGAACTTCAGTACGGGGGAATTTGGAACCCCAAGTGCTGTCGCCAATAAGAAAGGGATGGCTTATGTACTTTGGCCAATATCTGGAGAAGGTTAGCACTTGTCCTTTAACAAAGACATCTGCCATGTGTTACATAACTGGACCTGACAGAACAATAAAACAAACTCTATGGTTCAGAGTCCAAAATTGCCATTCATCACCCGATGGCTGCAAGTGCACAGAGCTGCACACAATGGCTGCGCCTCTCACTACCCAGGCGCATTGAGGCACGCCATGACATCACCTACCCAAACTTCTGGGACACAGGTCACAAGCCAGTGATTTATTTCACAACTCATGGGACTTTTGTCAGAGTTGAGGAGGGTGCAGTTAGGAGCAAGGCTCCTAATTGCAAAAGGTCTGGTGTCCGCTACATCGTCACTGCTGATGAGTAAGTCAACGTGAAGGTAGGAAGCTTTTGTGTCTTTACAGATCTGACAACCAGCACACATACAGGAACCTGAGTGTTTAGTCCTTAATATCTCGTGTGTTGTCTTCATCCTTTACTAGAGAACTACCAGGGGTTTTGCTCTTTTTTTTCCTTTAAATCTTTAATGTTTTAATTAG